AAAAATTATTTTAATATATTTTTAAAAAATAATCACTGTCTCTCCGAAGCACCCTCTTTATTGCTATGACAATTTCATACACTGGAAAAACCTTAAAAAAAAAAACCCGAAAGAGGTGGTCTGTGTGTTTTTCCAGTCCTCCAAGAAACTAAATCTGAAAATAAAATAACACTATGAAGACAAGTTCTGTGAGGAAAGAAGAAGGAAGAGTCCAAAAAAACAATAGGATATGAAGCCTAGACCTCATACTTTACCACACAAATACCTAATGCTTGCTTCGTTTTAACTAAATCATAATTTTCTTACTAACAATATATATATATATATATATACTTGACTGGAAAACGGTGAGAATTGGGGAGAAATCGCCGGTTTGAGGAGGAGGGCCGCGCTGGGGAACCCCCGCTCTTTGTTGCTGTGGAGGTAGCGGCTTGCTGGAGAAAACACTCACTTAGGGTTTTAAGAAAATTACATTCTCTTGTCACTGTGCCTATCTATTAACTTTGGGTGCCCGTTAAGAAAAGCAGCGCCTTTGATTTTCTTTGAAGGCATCGCGCGCGAATGTAGAAATCTTGTATTTTGATTGTTTTTATATTTTAAAAATATTTTTTTTAATTTTTATATTTTAATATTGTTTTAATATGATAAAATCAAAAATTATTTTTAAAAAAATAATCACTATCTCTCCGAAGCACCCTCTTTATTGCTATGACAATTTCATACACTAGAAAAATCGGGAGAAAAAAAACCCGAAATAGGTGGTCTGTGTGTTTTTCCAGTCCTACGAGAAACTAAATCTGAAAATAAAATAACACGATGAAGACAAGTTCTGTGAGGAAAGAAGAAGGGAGAGTCCACAAAAATACCTAATGCTTGCTTCGTTTAACTAAATCATAATTTTCTTACTATATATATATGAGTTCTTTTCTAAAATGGTAGAACTGGTATGACGAGCGATGACTTCCAGTTTTTTTCTATAAAATAAGACTCGAGTCTCACTTACTTTAGTTTTCACAATTATAATAATATAATAAGAAATAAGCTATCTTCCATCACATAGCTCAGAAACCGCTGCCTATGTGGCTATATATATAAAAAAAAACTTAGAGAAATTTCCTTTGAAGGGAAAAAAAGTTGCCATTGATAATGCCTTGTGATGACTTTGTTTATTTTTCTTAACCACGGGTTTATATCCAAGTTGCTATAAAAAAAAAAAGTAGACTTTGCTTATACCACTATTTTAATTATTTACTAGCTATCTCACACGTTTATCATCACAATCCGAGTATATTTTTTTAAAAAAAATACATGTTTTTAGAATATATTTTTTTTATATAAAAAAGTTTTGAATATAAATTTAAAAATTTATACATGAATTTAATTATATACATCGAGAATAGTTTATATCAATAAATGTTAAAAAATTTATAAATAATAACTAAAGACTAAACTGAAAAATTAAAAAATAAATATAGATTAAGGTATTTGATTTTACAATACAAAATATTTACCTGATTATATTTATTGAATTTATTTATTAAAATAAATTTTTGTTTAATTTAATAACAAAATAGGCACAATGATGAAAACGATTGAATAAAATATAATAAATATTATACAAGGTTGTGCTTATTAGAAAAAAATGTTATCTTTTTCGTGAAAATCAATTAAAAATTAAACAATACTTAACTGATGAATAAATTAAAAAGTTGAGAAATAGAAGTGAGTATAAATCTCAAAACATGAATCATAAACTTGTTTGTATTCAATAATATTGTTTTTTGGAAGTAATATTTTATTTAATAAAATGAAAAAAAACACATAAAAGTGATTTAATACAATTAAAGAGAAAATAGAATGCTAGGTATAACTGCATAAAAAGAATGCTTCATAAGAACATAAGTGTATTTGTAAGCTAGGTATAAATTAAATTATATTTTATTGAAGAAAATCATATATTTAAATTATATGTGGGATCGGTGGGTGTTCTTAGTGCGCCTGGGCTTAAAACAAAGCTGAGGTGTGTTGGCCTTCTGCCTAGATCTACACATCTGAGACGAGTTTTTTTTTTTTTTTTCAAGGGGTTAACAACACTTTACTTCTCCCCATATTTTTGTCATGGTTATCATTGAAAAATTAAGATTGATAATTTTTTTACCTAGAAACTTATTTTATCTCTTTTATTTTTATCAAAAATATTTATAAAGCATCATATATATATTATGATAAAATTATATATAATAGTTTATATCCAAGTTGCTATTAAAAAAAAAAAGTGGACTTTTCTTATACCACTATTTTAATTATTTAGTAGCTATCTCACACGTTTATCATCACAAGCCGAGTATATTTTTAGAAAAAAAATACATGTTTTTGTAATATATTGTTTTATATATAAAAAAATTTTGAATATAAATTTAAAAATTTATACATGAATTTAATTATATACATCGAGAACAATTTATATCAATAAATGTTAAAAAATTTATAAACAATAACTAAAGACTAAACTGAAAAATTAAAAAATAAATATAGATTAAGGTATTTGATCTTATAATACAAAATATTTACCTGATTATATTTATCGAATTTATTTATTAAAATAATTTTTTATTTAATTTAATAACGAAATAGACACAATGATGAAAATGATTGAATAAAATATAATAAATATTATACAAGGTTGTGCTTATTAGAAAAAAATGTTATCTTTTTCGTGAAAATCAATTAAAAATTAAACAATACTTAACTGATGAATAAATTAAAAAGTTGAGAAATAGAAGTGAGTATAAATCTCAAAACATGAATCATAAACTTGTTTGTATTCAATAATATTGTTTTTTGGAAGTAATATTTTATTTAATAAAATGAAAAAAAACACATAAAAGTGATTTAATACAATTAAAGAGAAAATAGAATGCTAGGTATAACTGCATAAAAAGAATGCTTCATAAGAACATAAGTGTATTTGTAAGCTAGGTATAAATTAAATTATATTTTATTGAAGAAAATCATATATTTAAATTATATGTGGGATTGGTGGGTGTTCTTAGTGCGCCTGGGCTTAAAACAAAGTTGAGGTGTGTTGGCCTTCTGCCTAGATCTACACATCTGAGACGAGTTTTTTTTTTTTTTTTCAAGGGGTTAACAACACTTTACTTACTTCTCCCCATATTTTGGTCATGGTTATGATTGAAAAATTAAGATTGATAATTTTTTTTACCTAAAAATTTATTTTATCTTTTTTATTTTTATCAAAAAAATATTTATAAAGCATCGTATATATATTATGATAAAATTATATATAATCTCCAATAACCTTAAAACTAGTTCATAAATTCAAAATCAATTCAAATAAAAAAACTTTTCAAACTAAAATTTACCATTTTAGCTGATTGGAAGGTCAAATAACACTTAAGTAAAATTTCTTTTATCAAATAGAATTTATTAACATTAAAATTGATTATTTTTATGACTTAGATCAATATCAATTAAGATTTTTTTATTTATTATCAGAATTCAGTGATTTTTTCTCAAACTAGGATTGGAAAATAAGGATTCAAATTTCTGGACCAAAATTAAAATTTCAAAAACTAAAGGGACATTAAAAAAAATAAATTGGAAAGTATAACAGCCAAACTGAATTTTTTGTTGCAAACTTTGAAGCAGCTACCTATTTTTCCTGTCTTTTCACCTTTGAACCTTTATCTTTCAATTTTGCAATTGTTTAACAAATCAAAGCCAATTAGCCATAAAAGGGTTTAATCAAGGATAAAAAATCTCAAATGACCAAAGTAAAAGAGAACTTCACCATGGAAGTCCAAAGAGAAATGTGAAAGTGTGACCAACAGCATTCATTATAATAACTAGTGGTCCTAATAACTTCTTTGGCATTTATGCTTGTTATCAACTCTTTGACTTTGTATGCATGGAGATTACAAGTTGAAAGGCTAAACAGGTTCCTTTACAAATATGTATGGGCAATACATTTGTTTATGCTTACACAAGAGAGCTTAATTTACAAAAAAAAAAAAATGAAGTTGGCAAGGTAACTGAGAGGAACGCCTGCAGTGTTTTGTTTTCTTTGCTACAGCAAGCTAACTGCGTTGGCACGGTCATAGTTCCTCTGGATAGCTGCAGCTCCAAGTGAATGCCGA